GTATAGACGTTTATAGTCTAGAAGTTCACGTAGAGTTTGTTAGTGAATTAAAGATTTATTATTTGTTTGCGGGGGGAGGGGGGCGATGTGAAAGCACATTATAATATGGTCCGTGTTGGTTTTCCCAGTCACGATTTCGTTATGTCCGGGCCCTTTGAGTCTGAACGATAACAGTATGCGATCGTTACGCGTGCCCCGGATAAGCTGGAAATTATAACGGCCAGATCCAAATAAAATTACCGTTTGTCTGTGTGGCTGACTTTTCTATGACCCTGGATATATCGGCCGAATATCCTTTGGGTGGCTGGAGGCCGCTGCTGTTATATGTTCATGCAGCAGCGTTTTTCATTATGATTATGCGCCGCATTATTATTATTTTTGTTTTTGCTGTTGTTGTTGTTGTTGTTGTTGCTATTGCTGCTGTTGTTGTTGCCGTTTTCATGAGCGTATTTCTGTGTGTGTGTGTGCCCCCAGGAGGACAAGTACTGCGGCGTGTGCGGTGACCGGGCGTTGGGCTACAACTTTGACGCCATCTCCTGCGAGTCGTGCAAGGCTTTCTTCCGCCGGAACGCGCCCAAGGGACTTGTGAGTACATTGAAGAATATTCATCATCACCAATGCATTTTACTCCTGGCAGGGTATAGGCCACATACAAGGAGTTTACTGTAAACTCCTTGGCCACATACAAGCTCCTCCCATTTATCTCTATCCTGGGCCATCCTTCCTAGCTCGTTCCAAGTTAGCTTCATCTCTCTCATGTCCCTTTCCACATATCTCCTCCATGTCTCTCGTGGCCTACCCCTGCCTCGTGCTCCCTGTGGCCACGAATATAATAAGAATATTATAATAGTATTAATAGATAGCCGTCTCTCAGCTGGTTTCTCTTATTTCGTAGGCTGGAGTCTGTAGAGTCGCAATGTGGGTCCGGGTGGTTGACTGGTTCTCTGGTGGGGTTCGCTCTTTATTTCCTATCGAACGTCTATCATCTTTATCGCCCCTCCTTCTTTTTTTGTGTTTGTTACTCTCTTGTTATACCTCTAATCTTCGGCACTAATATGACCTCATTGTGTTGCAAGTGCCGTAAAACACGAGCTAAAACTTAAAAAGAGTCGCAATGTGGGTGATTGGCGGATGCTCTGGTGGGGTTCGCTCCTTATTTCCTATCGAATCGAGATCCCTCCTCCTTTTTTGTGTTTCTTACTCTCTTGTAACACCTCTCATCTTCGGCACTTACATGACCTAATTGTGTTGCAAGTGCTGTTAAAACTCTTACTAAAACAAGGTTGTTATTGGTCTTAGTTTTTCATTCTTTTCATTGTTTGATGTCAATAATGATAATAAAAAAAGGGGGGGGGGGGGGGGCAGGTTGTTAAAGAGAGGAGAGTTTTTGTACCTTTGTCGTGGAAGACTGTATACTGTAAATCTGTCTTACTTAAAAGTAAAGAGTGTGCTAAGAGTATAAAGTATAATGGTCTTTATGTACATTTATTGTGTAAGAACAGGAACTTACCAGCGAGTGAGAGATTGAATAGTTTGAAGGTTGGTTAGTTGAG